CCGCCTACGGCTTCAAGCCATTCCTCCGACCGAGTTTGATATTCTCTCGACCAATCTTAAGAGATTGACCATAACACACTATTTAAAGGCCACTGGAACATGAATCACTCGGATAAACACGATCGTAACAAAAGATAACATGACACAACATAAAACGGCCCGTGGGCGTGCGCTATGTACGCTACCCACCTCCTTAGGCCAACTCATCGTTAAATCATGAAATTTCTTCGACTAACATGACTTAACTGAGTATAAACTGACTAATAATGATCAAATAAACACAAATTATTTGTGGTTGATGGATAAAACGTGGATTTTACTCGGTCACGGCCAATATGGCCTAAAACCGAACCTATCTTAGCATTTCTATGAACTTTTAGAACATGAGCTGAACAATTCAATTGATCATGAACTCATTAACATGAAAATATGTTGAGGATGTTGTTACCTCTTCAAGATCTCGAAGAATTTCACAATACCGAACGCTCTCTCTCTCGTCCCGTGCGTGCGTGCGTGAAGGATATGCCGTGTGCGTGTGTTTAGAGCTAATCTAGTTATATATATATTAATCTTGCTTAGTGTATGCGTAAGAATATGCTGAACTTTTCCACCCAATATTAAGATTTATAGCTACAGAATTGATGGTAAATTGGGTTGAAATTTGAAGTAAAAATCGTGGCCAATCACCAAACACCACTTGCCGTGCAACTAGTCCTTAAGGTGGCCCTTCTTTGCTTATTCATCAAGTTGTTAGCTTAGTCATAAATCAAATGGTCTCCTATGCCTCCATGTGTCACAAACCATCATGAGTCTTCACGTGAAATGAGTGAAGAGAATTATAACTCTCGGTTATAAGCCACTTAGGCTTAATGTGCGCTAAGCATGCTTAACGTGCTAATGACGTGAGGTAACTTAGCTTTGCGCGTGATCATGGACAATTAGGTCACTTGCATGCATTATTAATACGTGATCAATGAACGTAAGCTCAGTAAAATTAATTATCGAGCGATTGAATATAAATTAATTATCAGAAAATTATTCCGAACATGACGTGATATTCGAAAATTAATTCGAACGTTTCTTGACTTGAATAAATAATTTCGAACGATAACGCTTAATAAAATAAATATTTCGGAACTAAACATGATATTACATTAATAAACATGACGGGATATTATAACGACACTTACGACCGTACAGTGCTTCGTAAGGAGCCATCTGAATAGAAGCATGATAACTGTTGTTGTAAGCGAACTCGACCAATGGCAATAACGATCCCACTTAGAACCCCTGTTAACAACCAAAGCTCGTAGCATGTCCTCCAATGTCTGAATAGTCCGCTCGGTCTGTCCGTCAGTCTCTGGATGGTAGGCTGAACTAAACTCTAGTCTTGTGCCCATCGTGCAAGCTCTCCCAAAATCTGCTGGCGAATCTGGGATCATTGTCTGACACGATAGTAACGGGCACTCCGTGGAGTCGAATGATCCCACAAGTGTAAATCTCAGCCAACTTGTCCAAAGACATATTCATCGATACTGATAAGAAATGAGAAACCTTAGTTAACCTGTCCACCACGACCCAAATAGCATCGTGATGTTCAGACGACCTCGGTAACCCTGTGACAAAATCCATCGTAACTTCCTCCCACTTCCACTTCGGAATCTCGAGTGGTTGCAGAAGGCCCAAGGGACTCTTGTGTTCTGCTTTGACTTGCTGACAGGTTAAACATTTCCTCACAAAGTCGGCTACATTCTTCTTCATCCCTCGCCACCAAAACAATTTTTTCAAGTCATGATACATCTTCGTGCTCCCTGGGTGGGCTAAATAAGGTGCGGTATAAGCTTCGGTCAGTATCTCTTTTCGCAAAGCCTCGACTTTTGGTACAACAATCCTCCCTCGAAACTCCAAGGCTCCATTAGTGCCTCGGTGAAAACCCTCAATGCTTCCGGCGCGGACTTTGGCATCAATAGCACGAACAAATTCATCGAAAGCCTGCTCCCACCGGATCCTTTCCCTCAACGTCGGCTGAACCTGCATAGAACTGACACTCCCCGTGATCGCTGTAGGAAGTGCATCAACCACCTGAATCTGCATCCGGGCGAACTCCTGGATAAGACGGTTCTGCTGAGTAACCACATAAGTTAAGTCACCCTTCACCTTACGGCTTAAGGCATCAGCAACTACATTCGCCTTCCCCGAATGGTACTGGATAGTGCAATCATAGTCTTTGACGAGCTCCAACCAACGACGTTGATGCATGTTGAGCTCCTTTTGAGTGAAAATATACTGTAAGCTCTTGTTGTCAGTGAAAATTTCGCATGGACCGCCGTATAAATAATGTCGCCAAATCTTGAGGGCATGAACAACTTCAGCTAGCTCCAAGTCGTGCGTCGGATAGTTCTGTTCATGTGGCTTTAATTGGCGTGAAGCATAAGCAACGACCTGGCCATCCTGCATGAGTACGCATCCCAAACCCTGTCTTGAAGCATAACTGAAAATGGTGAAACTCCGAGAAGGATCGGGAATAGTCAACACCGGTGCTGTGGTTAGCCTCTTCTTGAGCTCCTGAAAGCTCGATTCACATCGACCAGTCCACTCAAACTTCACAGATTTCCTCGTCAGCTGGGATAATGGAAAGGCAATCTTGGAGAAGCCCTCAATGAACCTGCAGTAGTAGCCAGCCAAACCAAGAAAACTGCGAACCTCGGATGGACTCTTCGGTGTCGACCAGTTTTGAACAGCAGCAATCTTGGATGGATCCACCTCAATACCTTCCTGAGTGATAACATGGCCAAGAAAGGCTACTCGCTGGAGCCAGAATTCGCATTTGGAGAATTTAGCATATAACTTTTCACGTCGAAGGGTTTCAAGGACAACCCTCAGATGCTCCTCGTGTTCCTTCTGTCTCTTGGAGTAGATTAGAATATCATTAATGAATACAATAACAAACTGATCGAGGTAAGGATAAAATATACGATTTATCATGTCCATAAATACCGATGGAGCATTGCTTAGGCCAAATGGCATGACTACGAACTCATAATGACCGTACCGGGTACGAAAAGCGGTCTTGGCAATATCAGACTCTTTGATCTTCAGCTAATGGTAACCTGATCGTAAATCAATCTTGGAGAACACACAGGCTCCCCTCAGTTGGTCGAACAAGTCGTCGATTCTGGGAAGCCGATATTTGTTCTTGATAGTCAACCGGTTGAGATCCCGGTAATCGATACACATGCGCATAGAACCGTCCTTCTTTTTGACGAAAAGAATAGGTGCTCCCCATGGTGAAACACTCGGTCAGATAAAACCGAGTCGCAATAACTCCTGGATTTGGGTCTTAAGCTCTTGTAATTCTTTCGGCGCCATTCGATAAGAGGCTTTGGAAACTGGGCCGGCTCCTGGACTAAGATCAATAGAGAACTCGACCTGCCGGTTAGGTGGTCCTCCTGGAAGTTGGTCCGGAAACACATCCACAAACTCACGAACAACAGAAACGTCGTGAGGTGTCCGTGCTTTCAGTTCATCACTGACAAGGCTCACAAGATAACCCTGACAATCACCTCGTCGTAACATCTTCTTCGCTTTTGCCATGGAAATAACATGAGGTAATGAACGCGTCTTGGTGCCAAAGAAAGTAATATGATCACTCCCGGAAGATAAAGAGTAATCTCCCGGTCGTGGCATCGAATATCTGCATGAAAACGTGTTAGCCAATCCATACCGAGAATGATGTTACAGTCCCTCATCATGAGAACATAAGCGTCGGTAGACAAGGTACAACCACCGATAGAAAGGCTGAGATCAGTAGCTTTAGCATCGGTCATTATCTTTCATCCTGAGGCTAAACTCACCTCGAGAGGATCGACAGCGGTAATAGAATGTACTCCAATTGCATCAAGAAATCATCGGAATATAAAAGAGTGGGTTGCTCCAGTATCAAATAGAGCGAAGACAGGAACATCGTTAAGCATAATCATCCCAGACATAGTACCTGGGTGGTGCTCTGCCTCGACCTGATCAACAGCATAAACACGAGCCTGCTGTCTGCCCCTCTGCTGCTGCTAGGGTGGCCTCGGGTCCTGTTGTCAGGGCTGCTGTTGCTGCTGTGGCTGCTGTCGTGGCTGAGGTTGCTCTGGGCAGTTGTTGACAAAATGTCCGGGCTGATGGCAATAGTAGCAAATGTCATGGCCGAAGTGACGCTCTCCACGATGGGGTCTTCCGCATGTAGTACATGGTGGAATCTGCTGTGGCCTGGCAGCACCTTGTTGTCTCCGATGGTTCCTCCTGTCATTCTGAAATCCTCTCCCTTTCCTCTTCTTGTCCTTCGGTTGTTGGGCAACAGCGGGTTGAATGGGTGGTACTGTAGATGATTGGACAGGGCCAGATGGCTGAAGACGTCCATGGTTAGCTTCCCTCCAGATGCTGGCGTCAACCTCCTGAGCTATGGTGACAGTACGGGCATAGGTCTGAGTGCCATGACCTACAATGTTGTGACGGACTGCTGGCAAAAGCCCGTCAGTGAAACGCCTCGATCTCTTTGCCTCAGTGCTCACCAGATCGGGAACAAAGGCTCCAAGTCGAGTGAACTCTCGCTCGTACTCGTCCACTGTATGAGTACCTTGTTGGAGTGACAGAAACTGACGCTCCATTTCGGCTCGATAGTACGCGGGATAATGTTTCTCTCGAATCAGCTCCTTGAATGTGTCCCACGTACAGCCTTTCTTTCACTTGGACGCATTCCCCAGTAAGCGTTCCACCAGAGACGTACGTCACCCGTCAATTGGATCTGTGCGCATAGGACGCGATAACGCTCAGGACAGTCCATGACCTCGAAAATCATTTCAAGGCCCTGAACCCATTCGTCAATGACTCGAGGATCTCCCTGGCTGGATAATTTCTCGAAATTATAGTCGCAAAACTGAGCGACTACAGTGGCCTGGGGGACCTCCGAATGACCTGGATCTCTACGTGGCGGCATCTGAATATTGAAAATGTTCAACATTATCAGACACAGGAAAATACTTTAGCTGATTAATAAAGCGCACAAATCTCTTGACGAGTTGCTTAACATGGCTGGGAAAATACTGACATTAATCATGTTTATACTGAAATATGAATCATGATCATGATTCGAGCATCTTAACTAAGTCATAATTATGTTATTTACTGAGCATAGAAATAGTAATTTGATTATAATTTAAAACATGAATCAACACTTACCTGTAGTCGGCGAGGCGTGAGCGTGACGGGTTCAGGTTTTATAAAAATTTCTGACTCGTAAAAAATTTTCAGAGACGCAGAAACGTGCTCTGATACCAACTGTAACACCCCGCTAAATCATAAATATCAGAGTTAAATTTTCGCAAAACCTTTTAGTAAAAATTACTGATTAATTTGCGAAATCATGTTTCGAAGTGCTACCATAACGATAACTTTACCTGGAAAACTGTTATTTTAGTTTTTAAGAAAAGCGGTTTATCATAATATAAACAATCAGACTGGTAATCGGATCAAAAGGGCTAAGTTTGACAAACATGAAATGTCAGCGGAAAACGTAGCGTTCTAAAACATTTAAACTCCACTACGGTAGATAGTAACAACACTGCTATGGCCAAATTCAAACATGTAAACAAAATTTTGAACCGCCTGTCATCTCACTCTTCCACTCCGACTCTGTGACCTGAAAAACATACATAACATGGGGCGTGAGCACTAAAGTCCACTGTGCTCCGTAGGAACTCATACTAAAGTAAACAGTGAAAATAATTGCAATATCATCATCCTGGTATATACATAAACATAACATAGCATGATACCGGTAAACCATTGCCATCACATGAACCGTTGCCTCATAACCGTTACCTCATCCGCAAGCATAAAAATGCCGGACACCATGTGCACACTCTAGTGGGCAGACTAGGCCACTAGAACCCATAATGGATCGGCGACCATTCCAAGCGGATACATAACATAGCATGATACATACCTCAAACATGGTACCGTAATTATAATCAATGTAATACCCAGTCTGAGTCCCCACCTGATCCGTCGATATGAAAATGGTAGTGCTGATAATAGTAGCATGATCAAACTGTAACATAATATAAACAATTACTAAGTACTATGCTCAGACTGATTAAAATAGTTGTTTAATGTGTTAAGATGCTCAACTTGATCTTGACATGACATCTAGACTAAACCGGTATAACCGAAACCGGCTTTGATGGGTTCTGTTAGGAACGTCAAAAAACATGCACAGTATTGAACTTTATCGAAATAAATCCTAACACAGCGGAATCTATAGTTAGGATATGGACGTTTACCTTTTAAAATTTTTGCCGACTCTGAGACGATGTAG